AGAGGTCTCATTGTTTTCAGGGGTCAGGCCTGGAGGGTGGGACTTCCGGCAGCCAGGTGGGGCAACCCTAAGCGGATGGCCATTGACTTGTCAGGCCTGGGTTTGTGGTTCTCATCTGGGGACCTGTGCTTTGTGGGATATGCGTTATGTGTTGAAAATCGATGCCACTGGGTTTTTGTTTCTGTTTGCCACCGCAATAGAGGGAGCCATACACAAGACAGCAAGGCAGGACTGTCCAGCAAGATAGAGAGGGGAGCAAAGATGTAATAACAAAGTACACTTCAGTCACAAAGTGGGTCGCCTCATGATGTGAAGACCATCACATCTCGGGGTATGACGCTGGATTTTATAGGGGTCAGGGAGCAGAACCCCATTGGCACACCCCAGCCCTTATCCTGCTTGCCCATTGGCCCTTGTTCTTTTCTTTTTTTTTTTCAATAGCAGCTTTATACTTAAAAAAAATTTTTTTTTACTGGGGGCTCATATAACTCTTATCACAATCATCCATCCATCCTTGGTGTCAAGCACATTGTGTATTTGTTGCCATCATCATTCTCAAAACATTTTCTTTCTACTTGAGTTCTTGGTATCAGCACCTCATTTTCCCCCTCCCTACCCGCCCCCCCCTGTCACGAACCCTTGATAATTTATAAATTATTATTTTGTCATGTCTTACACTGTCTGACATCTCCCTTCATCCACCTTTCTGTTGTCTGTACCCCAGGGAGGGGGTTATATGTAGATCATTGTGATCAGTTCCCCCTTTCTCCCCCACCTTCCCCTCCCCCTCCTGGCATCACTACTCTCATTATTGATCCTGAGGGGTTTATCTGTCCTGGATTCCCTGTGTTTCCAGCTCTTATCTGTAGCAGTGTACATCCTATGGTCTAGCTGAATTTGTAAGGTAGAATTGGGATCATGATAGTGGTGGGGGGGAGGAAGCAATAAAGAACTAGAGGAAAGTTGTATGTTTCATTATTGCTATACTGCACCCTGACTGGCTCGTCTCCTCCCCGCGATCTGGCCCTTGTTCATGTATCCTGATTGATCCTTATTCCAGCATAATGGTTGATCTCTTAATCCATAGCTTGTGGACCTCACTGTCATGTGGGACAGTGTTAGTCAGTAGGTTATCTGGACATGACCTCTGAAATGGATCACGGGTGGCAATTTGGGATGGGTCATCCAGACTTCTAATTGTCCCTGACATTTGCTGGAATAGGTCATGTGAGGCAATTTGAGATATGTCCTTCAGACCTCACAGGTCATTGGCTAACCCTGACATTCCCACCTGAGGAGAACGAGACTTTGAATTCATTTGGGATTTTGGGTGACGACTGATCTGACTCCTTCCTGCTCAAATGGGACGAAGGATCTAGTCTTTTTTTCTTAGTGTCCATTCTTGTCACTTGCCCTAAACCTCAGATCTCTCTGGCCCGTCATCTGGAGTGGAATAGGACTTTGCTTATTCATCACCATCGTTATTGCATGGAATTGCTGCAATAGGGAAGAGAAAAACTTGACCAACGGGTTCAAGATACATGGGCTGAACAACGGAAGGCAGAGAGCTTGTTATTGGCTCCAGGAAAGGAAGCAGCCAGATTTTTCGATAGAGAGTCTACCAGTTGTGGTTCATGTCCCCAAAATTAAAGTAGAATTGTTACTGAATCCTTGGTCTTTTTCTCACACACATAGGAAAAAGCTTTTTTCTAGGCCAACATTTTGTTCTAAAAGGCCTTGTTATACCAATAAAAAAAAACCCAGTGCATTCTTTAGAAAGACTTTCCTGGTTGGCAAAAACAAGCACCTTACAAAAGGTGGCAGAAAAGTAGCTAAGAAGAAAGTGGTTGGTCCATTTTCTAAGACAGATTGGTATGACGTGAAAGCACCAGCTAGGTTCAATATCAGAAATATTGGGAAAACACTAGTCACCAGGACTCAAGGAACCAAAACTGCATCTGATGGCCTCAAGGGTCGAGTTTTTGAAGGGAGCCTTGCTGATCTGAAAAAGGATGAGGTTGCCTTTAGAAAAGTCAAGCTAATTACTGAGGACGTTCAGGGCAAACACTGTCTGACCAACGTCCCTGGCGTGGATGTTACTCGGGACAAGGTACGCTCCACGGTCAAACAATGGCAGACCATGTTGGAGACTCATGTTGATGTCAAGACTACCGATGGGTGTCTGCTGCATCTGCTCTGTGTTGGTTTTACTAAAAAACGCGATAATCAGATTTGGAAGGCCTCTGTGCTCAGCACCAGCAGGTTCACCAAACCCGAAAGACAGTGATGGAGATCATGACCCGAGAAGTGCAGACAAATGACTTGAAAGAAGTGGTCAATAAATTGGTTCCAGACAGCACTGGGAAAGACATAGAAAAGGCTTGCCGGTCTCTTTCTCCATGATGTGTTTGTCAGAAAAGTAAAGATGCTGAAGAAGCCCATGTTTGACTTGGGAAGAAGACTCATGGAGCCTCATGGTGAAGGTGGACGTTCTGGAGAAACGACTGGAGTTGAGACAGGTGCAAACGTGGAACAAGATGATGGCTATGAGCCACCAGATCAAGAATCTGTTTACAATTCAGACTTAATGTTGACAAATAAAAAGTCTTATTGTGGAAAAAAAAAAAGAAAGGAAGAAAGACTTCCCTATTAAAGACATGAAACTATTTACCGCACAGACTCGAATATAAGCCGACCTGAGTATCAGCCAGGGCACCTAATGTTGCCACAAAAACTGCATAAAAAATGTGCTGAAAAACTCGGCTTATACACGAGTATATAAGATCCTAACAGAGGTAAAGAGAACCTGGGACATGTTTCCAATGTGAGAAAGAATGTCCAAAATGGGACATATTTAGTCTGTGCAGGAAACACTCGGGGTAGATAACCTGGTAGTCGCCATCTTGGGTAAAGGGAAAGCCCACATTTTTTAGAAATTAAAAAGACTCCACTCAGCAGCCTATTTTTCCATACACCCAAGGCTATGTCAACTAAATTCATTTTCAAATACTCAAATTCAGTGTTCTCTTCTCCGCTTCAGACTCACAACATTCTCCACGCTGGTCAGATGAACAGAAAGACTTAAATTTCAGAACAAATTCAAGGAAACAGCAACTTAAATTTCAAGGTCAGGATAGAGAAGCGCTGAAGAAATCCAGTTTAACAGACCAAATAGATCTAACCAGACCTCACACATGTCGGCTAGGGGGAGATTTCAAATCCTAGATAACAGACAGACCGCACGCTGAAAACAAGCCCCTTTGCTAGCAGCATTCCTCACACTCAGCTGCAGCCAGATTTTTATTGCAGAGGCGCAGAAAGTGCAGAGCTGTAAGGGATTCTGACGGCTGGTCATCTTCTTGCCTGGGTAAAGTTCTTGGTCTTGGTGAAGAATGGTGCTTTTTTGGTTTGTTTGTTTAGCACCCTCTCATCCTCTACCCAGCCTGCTGGCCTTTATGTCTCCTGATTGATACATCAGCCTGGCAATGTTATGAAAGAAAGGCATCCCTCTCCCTATGTTTGTTTGCTTCAAACTGTCTAGGGACGAGCCAGGGGTCTTCCAATTCTTTAGTAAACCATGCTTTATCTAAAACCACCAGATATGCACGTGGCTTAAGTCTGTGACCTCCAGCATCCCAGGGTTGGGGACCCTAACACATCACACAGCTATTTCAGGGAGTTGTCTCTTTGGAGATCTGTGGCTCTCCCAGGAAGGATAGCACCCCCTCCATGGCAGGGGCCTCCATAGCCTGGGTGGGTAATGCTGAGTGCAAATCAGCCCCTTCCTGGTGCCCTCCAGTCACTTGCCATATCTTGAGTCCTTTAAACAAAGTTAAGTCGACAGTAAGATGTAAACACAGCTTCTGTTCTGAGGAAATCTAATCCTGTCATTGGTTTACTTGCCTCATGGAGACTCGTAAGCCCGCTAACTGGAATCTTATATCACCAAACCTTCCACAATTGGTGGCCTAAGAGACTGTAATTTGGATTTTAAATAAGGGCTCTCCCAGACTCAGAGGCACAGTTGCAAAATTCAAACAAGAGGGAAATAATCCTTTCAGTCTTCTTGAAAAGCCAGCCTATTAGGGCCTGAAGGGCAGGCCGTATGCAGATAAGACCATACAACAGACGAAGCAGGAGACATGCTCTCCACATACCATAGCCAGCTCAGCAAAGGTGGAAAACTCCTCCCCCTCAAATGAGGTCTACGTGTAGTGGGCCAGAAGGTGCTGATTGTAATGGAATAAACTTCTGTGGGTGTGACTCTCAGAGCTGGCCATGCCTGTTTTTGTGTCTGACTCAATTCACTTGTCCTCAAGAGGATTCGGGGGTCCGGGGCAGGGTTGAAAGTGACCAACTGTTTCACCACCCCTGGATGAACCTTTCTTGTCTATTCTTCAAACGACACGTAGGTGCACTCATAGAGAATTTTTTTTGATGAGTAGATCACCCTATGCCGCCTTTGCATGGCTAAGTTAATAAGTTAGGAAGACGGAGGGAGGATGTGCTGCTCATCTTCCGTCTGGAGAGGAGAAAACCTTCCAGAACTAGCCCTGGAAATTCAACAGAGGACAAAGAAAAGAGACACACCCTGTGTGAGTTAGGTTTTTTGTGCCAACATAGCTCCCGTAGGAACATGTGGGTGGGGTTTAGCCAGTTAATCAGGTCGCACCTTGATTGAAGGGCGACCAAGATAAATGGCTCTTTGAGGCTGCCCTCTTCTTTTTCTCTGGTGATCGGACTAGCGTGCTGCTGCTTGAGTTAGCTGCTCTGTTTCAGCTGCCTCAGCTGTGTGCTGGCTGCCTGTGGGCTAAGCCAGCCTGTGGATTGTGGTGGATTATGTCACTATGGTGTGCTCCACCTTGAGGCTCTCTGCTTCACCACACTGCTGCGCTACTGGCCTCTGCTACACCTTGGCATCCTATCTCCCTGCTGTTGCTGCCCTACCTTGCTGTGTCTGCTGCCTGTGGGCCGACTCTCCTTGACTCACTTCCTGCCAGCCACTTCCCTCCTGTTTCCTGGACCTTGGACCAGTGGCCAGCGTGAGTTGGAAGGACCTTCATTATATCAACTGCCTGCGAAAGTGAGTTGCACTAGCCCTCTGTACTGCTGTGTGAATTAATTACCTGTTGTATCCCTTCTAACGATATAAAGCTATCCATAAATATATAAAATCATAAGCATCCTAGTTTTGTTAAAGCACCCTGCATAACACACCCTGAAAAGCCAAATAAATGTTACAAGGACAAGAGATCCCAGTGTGACTTACCTCTGGGGTAGGGCAAATCAGAAGAAAGGCAGATCCTGGGCGAGCCCCAAATGTTAAGTGTTGAAAGCGCCTGTCCCTGGGCTTTCTCCCCCAAAGAAAGGTACTGGCAGGTTCATCTGTTGTGACAACAGCCTGAGAGGGACTTGCAAATACCTCTGAGGGAGAAAACCTGGCCACATCAGCTTTCAACACATGACAATATGGTTTATTCATTGATTGATGACTCACTCAGTAAATGCTTTTGCAGCACCTACTGTGGATCGCCTTGAGAAGAATGGGGTTCCAAAACACTTAGTTGTGCTCATGTGGAACCTGTACACGAATCAAGAGGCAGTTGTGCACACAGAGCAAGGGAATACTGCATAGTTTTAAAACCAGGAAGGGTGGTATCCTCTCACCATCCTTATTCAATCTGTATGTTGAGAAAATAATCAGAGAAGCTAGATTATATGAAGGAAGGATTGGAGGAAGGCTTATTAACAACCTGTGATATGCAGATGACACACCTTGCTTGCTGAAAGTGAGGAAGAATTGAAGTACTTGCTGATGAAGATCAAGGATTGCTTCAATATGGATTACAACTCAATGTAAGGCAGACCAAAGTCCTCAGCACTGGATCAATAGGTAGCCTTATGATAAATGGAGGAAAGTTTGACGTTGTCAAGGATTTTGTCTTACTTGGATCCAATGGAAAAAGCAATCAAGAGATCAGAAGACATATTGCATTAGGTAAATCTGCTGCACAAGACTTCTGTAGAGTATCGAAGAACAAGGGTGTTACTCTGAGGACTAAGGTACATCTGACTGAACCCATGCTATTTTCATTCATGTGAATGTTGGACAGTGAATACGGAAGACTGAAGAAGAATCAATGCACTTGAATTATAATTGCCGAAGAATATTAAAAATCCCACGGGCTGCTAAAAGAACAAACAAATCTTGTGTTAGAAGAAATATGTTCCTTAGGGGCAAGCATGTCGAGACTGCCTCACGGACTTTGAACACGTCGTCAGTAGAGACCCTGGAGAAGGACATCTCGCTTGGTGAAGTAGAGGGACAGTGAAAAAGAGGAAGGCCGTCTACAAGATGGATTGACACCGTGGCTGCATCCATGGGCCCAGGCAGCAGTTGTGAGGACGGTGCAGGACCAGACTGTGTTCTGTTCTGTTGTGTATAGGGTCACCATGAGCTGGAGCGGACTCAACAGCATCTAACACTGGGTGCCCAAGGAGCCTTTGTGGTTCAATGCACAACTGCTAACTGAAAGGTTGATGGTTTGAATTAACCTGGCAGCTCTGTGGGAACAAAAGCTGGTGATCTTATCTGTAAAGATAAGAGCGAGAAACTCTAAAACAAACAAACAAGTAAATGGAACAGTTTGTCATATGGGGCCACTGTGAGTCCCAGTGAACCCCACAGCACCCAAGAACAACAACTATGTGCTAACCACGCCTGGTTACCTTTCTGGCCTTCAAAGCCCAGCATGTTTCCTGTAGAACTCTTTACAAGATTTGCTGGTCTCTGTGCTAGGAGGAAGCAGTGGTGCCGTGGGTTAAGCATTGGGCTGCTAACAGAAAGGCTAATCGTTTTAATCTACCAACTTCTCCATAGGAGAAAGACAAGGCAGCAACCTCGGAAATCTTACTATGCAGGGCATCGAGTCAGTCGTATTGAATAGATAGGAGTCAGAATGGACTTGATGACAGTGAGTGTGTTCTTGGAAGAGAGAGGCTGTTTCCATAAAGATTTACAGTGTTGGAAACCACATATAGGGTTAGTATGAGTCAGAATGAACTCTGTGGCAGTGGTTTATAGGGTCAGAATCAACTGGCAGCCCACACAGCCATAATATCTGTGAAATTGAAAGACACATGGAAACAATCCAGTGGACTCACGCACCACGCAAACATCAGTTTTTATAACCTGAGACCAGAAGAACTAGATGGTGCCCGGCTTACCACCACCAACTGCTCTGAAGAGGATCACATTAGAAGGACTTGGGTAGAATGGAAGAAAAATGTGGAACAGAATGCCAAATCATGAAAGATCAAGCTTATTGGCAGAAGGAAACTGGTGGGATCCCTAAGACTTAACCTTCAGGTCTGGAACTGAACTCACCCCTGTATTAGAAGAATCAACCATTTAAGATCAAAAGGGCAGTGTTTACCCAAAGGCAAAGCTCTGAGTGTTAGGAAAAAAGGAGGAATGGAAATGTGTGTGTGTGGGGTACATGTGTGTGTGTGGGGGGGGAGTGGGGCTCTGGGAGGAAGAAGGATAAGGGATGGTACATTGATGGAATTGCATTGATGAGTTGAATCAGAATGTGCCTGAATTGTTGAATGGTTGTGTTAGTTAGGCTTATTGTGTCACAGGCCCATAGGAACATGTGGGATTAATCAGGTCTCAGTTTGATTGGAGGGCAAAGATAAATGGCTCTGCAACGCCAGTCCCTGTCTCTCCTCTGGTGGTCGGACCAGTGTGCTGCTGCTTTAGCTAGTTCTGTACTTCAACCTGTGTGCTGTACCACCTGTGGACCCAGCCAACCTGTGGATCATGTGCTAGAGCTTGAGGCTCCTTTGAGACCTGCTTCGCCAAGCTGCTAGCATGTACATCACTTGAGCTTGAGGCTGGTGGAACCTGTCACCTTGCATTGCTTTAGTTTGATATCCCATTTGGGCCTTCTCTGTCGAGCTCACAAACTACTGACTGTTGCTGATACACCCTGCCTCCGGGCATTCTCTGCCTGCCTTGCCTGGACTGAGCTGTTTGCTTCCTTGACCTTGGACCTGGCAGCCCACTTGTGAGTCGAAGGACTTCCAGCATATTAAATGTTCCATGAAAGTGAGTTGAACTGAGCCCTCTGTACTCCTGTGTGGATTAATTAACTGTTATATTCCTTTTTGCTGTATAAACCTATCTATCTATGTCTATCTGTCTGTCTGTCTGTCTATCTATCTATCTATCTATCTATCTATCTATCATCTATCTGTAAGTGTCCTGGTTTGTTTCTCTAGAGAACCCTGCCCCACGCAATGGCCAATACTTTCTCCTTTGTAAACCTTCACCTAATTCACAATAACAAGTGGAGAAAATTAAAACAAACCACTGATGTCTGTGCATGCATGGCTGTGAAGTGTTTGTGACAAGTGACAATGCTTACTGAAGCATTCTGTCCGAATCAGCATCTTTCATCACCCTGTGTCCCCATGCCCTCTCTGCTGTTGTTCTTCACACTAATGCCAGCTGGTAACGTCATATACAATATATGTATCTGCGTAGTGCCTGTTGCCCCTCTCACTTGTAAGCTCCAAGTGGACACGATCTGAATTCTGTTCACACTTTCTATTGTGACTAAACAGTGCCCAACATTGTTGAAAGAAGAATGGTTTTCAGAGTTGATTTGCCCCGGGTGCTATGCTGAGCATTTTATATGCACATCTCATTTGATGATCCCAGTAGCTTTTGAGTAGGTGCCTCGCTTCCCTGTTTCCCAAACGAAGAAACTGAGGCTCGGTGAGACCAAGGAAAATGGTCCAGGTTATACCCTATTTAGTGGCAGAGCCAGGATTTGAACCTTGGTCTGAGTGACTATGAAATCCTTAACAGTTACAGTTTCCTGGCTTCTCTCTCTTTGCAGAGCCTGGGAACATGGCCGGCAGGGCTGTAAAGCTTGCTTCGTGGACCAGTGTGGCTCTTGCTGCTTCTGGCTTCTACCTCTACAATAACAAGTATTTGGACCCGAATGACTTCGGCGCTGTCAGGGTGGGCAGAGCAGTTGCTACGGTAGGTTTTAGCTCACTTCAGGAGCTGTGGTATTGTTTGCGTGTGTTCACACATAATGGATAAATGCACTGTTTGCACATATGTGGATGTGTGTGTATTCTTAATGTGTGTTGAAGCTCCCCTTACGCAGTTGCACAGGCATGGGTGTGCACATGTGTATACCAGCATTGCTATACACACCACCTCTGCACCCCGAAAGGGAACGAGATGGGATGACCCAGGGTCATTGCTCTGCAGCCGTCCCATTTTGGGGTCTGTGTCTCATCTTAGTGATGGACCCACACGGAGGACTGCAGCTTCGATTCCGTCCCAGCAGCAAATCGGGGTACTCTCCAGCGAGCTGGCGTGAATGGCTCCTGTAACAATGGCTTGGCGGTGACATTGACTACATCTGCCTGTACAAGTGCGAAGGAGAACTGAGGTCAAGACTGCACCCTGTGAGGAGGACATGCTTCCTCTCTCGGAGACTAGCTGGCCCTCTGACAGAACTCTACTTCTCTGCTGCACTTGGTGATTTGTTGCAATGGCCACACAGAACCCAGACACGGTTGTGGGTTCTATGAGGGACACATGTAGCAGGTTATAAGCAGGATCCAGAACAAATCAGGTGATAGTTCTTTAGTCAGGATAGCCACTTCTCTGCCATACCCTCAGGCAGGTCTCTCTCCAGCTCTCTGCCCTGCTTGGGCAAGTGTTACAAAGCTCGGTAGCCAACAGCAGCCTGAAGCATTCAGCACTTTTTCTCAGTGTGGGAGTGGACCTAGCTCCACCTATAAGTGACGGTAGGCAGGAGCCTCCTGCTCACACTTTCAACTCTCCCAATCTATGGGTCGCAAGCCTGGCCTGAAGGTGCAGAGGGCTCTCACTCTTGGGGCTGGGAAAGCCCACTGTGTGGGCCGCAACCAGTCTCCTGGTCCTGTTGCCCTGCCTCTCATTTCCTTGTCACTTCTTTTGAAAGAAATTAATTTGATCAGATTTCTTGCCATAATCCAAGTATCACACAATTCAATAGTTTAAACATATTATAAAAGAGCTGTGCAAGCATCACCACAATTTTAGAACATTTTCTTCATTCTTGTTAGCTCTCCATACCCCTCAGCCTCCCCTGCCATAACCCCAAGCAACTATTAATCCAGTTACTATCTCTATAGATTTACATGTCCTGGGGTTTCATATAAAGGAAAATATACAACAAAACACCCCAACAACAATAACAGATTAAAACAGAAAAGCCTCAACAAAAACAAAACAAAGCAAACAGAAAATTCAGCAGAAAAGAAGAAAAACTAGAACAAATTTAAACTGGGTCAAAAGGGGGTCAAATGATAAGATATTCACTTTTAACCAAACTACATCTGCATTAATCCACTTTCTAATGCACTTTGCCTGATAGCAAGGCTTTGACATCTCTGATCAGTGGTCAGAGTCGATTCAATGAACGCTTAATACACATGGGAATCCATCACATGGATTCGGGGCTTGTGTTAGTCTGGGTTGACTAGAGAAACAAACTCATAGACACTCATGTGTATAAGAAAGAGGTTTATATACAAGAGCAATTGAACATTGAGAAACCATTCCAGCCCAGTCCAGATCAAGTCCATAAGTCTGGTATTAGCCACATGTTTGATACCAATCTATAAATTCGTCTCCAGACTCACGAAACACATGCAATGATGCCTAATGCAGGATGATCACAGGCCAGAGGGTGGAAAGTATTGTGGATCCAGTGGCGGTGGAAGCATCTCAGTGCCTGCAGGGGTCTCTACGTGGCTTCTCCAGCTCTGAGGACTTTGGCTGCATCAGGGTAGCTTCATGTGGCTTCTCAGAAATGTCTTGCAGGGAGTGAGCATGTGTCCTGCCTCCAGCGAGCTCATTTATCTCCTTACCACTTCCAATCGATGTCATCAAGCCATGACCTGATTGACAGGCTAGACTCCACCCCTTCACTCTGAATCCTCGAATTGACACCAGAGATGTATTTATTTATAAACCATAGATCACACAGACTGGTGTGTTTCTTCTGTAGTAACTTAGATGGCACCACACTTAGATGGCTGCTCTTTTTAAAGACAAGTCTCTAAGACCCCAGATGCTATTCTTTGTGATAGCCGGGTACCATCTGATTTCTTCATTACATTTTCCTATAGCACCCATATCTTCAGTGATCCCTTTATGAGGGCAAATATGGCTTAGGGCCACATCATAAAAACTAATTGTTTTTAGATTAGGGCTATGATTAAGTTTGAGCTCAAAATCCATTCATATATCTATGGTTTATTTATGTTCCCTGGTCCACTTTAGAGACATTGTTATTTTATTGGGAGACATTATAAATCATCCACATGGGACATATGGTAATTCTATCAATAGTATCATTAATTTACCAATGATATAGAATGTAAAACTGTTGAGAAGAATAAAATATACATGTATCGGACAGCCCTTTAGACTGAAATACATGCATTGTTGACTTGTACAGATTAAAAACTTAAGTGACTGGACACTATTTATGTAAACAATGATGGTTGGAGATAGGTCAAAACTTTCTTTTTTTAAAAAATTCGTCATTTTATTGGATGCTCGTACAACTCTTATCACAATCCATCCATCCATCCATCCATTGTGTCAAGCACATTTGTACATTTGTTGCCATCATCGTTTTCAAAACATTTTCTTTCTACTTGAGCAGGGCAAAACTTTCAGTAATGCTGATTCATAAAGGCAGCACTGTGCCTGCTGGACTAAGACATGCCATAAGAAAGCAAAATCAGTATGAAAATAGCAAATGTATGGTAGCCCTAAGGTGCCCTTTAGGGGGCACCTATAGGCAAGAGATTTGTACCACGTCCAGTGACTTCCCAAGTATATTCTTGGGATAGTAATCTTGGGATAGTAGTCATCTGCGTTTCCTTACACGAAGGCATGTTAGCCTTAAATCCAAAGGGTTATTTCAGAGCCTTTAATCTGCTACAGGTGTGTTTAAGGTAAAGTCCAGTTTGCATAGTGGGAGTTCCAAATCAGATCCTTTGGGTATGGTCTAAGAAGGATGCTGTGCACTTTGGAAGGACAGTCTAAAGTCCCAGTTGTCTCTAGCACATGGCCTGGCTCCCCAAGGACTGGATAGAAACCCAGTGAAAGGTGCCTGATTAGGACCATAACACTGGGCATATTCTCCCATTCAGCGGTTTATATAAGTAATGCTAATCATTTTTCCCAATAGCAGGATGTTACTCCGGGTTGACTAGAGAAACAAATCCAGTGACACTCGTGTGTAAGAGAGAGTTTTATATCAAAGAGCAATTGTATATTGAGAAAACATCCCAGCCCAGTCCAGATCAAGTCCATAAGTCTGATTTTAACCCATATGTCCGTTACTGGGCCATATACTCCTCATCAGACTTACGCAGCACATTAATGATGCTGAATGCAGGAAGATGACAGGCCGGTAGGTGGAATGTCTTGTGGATCCAGTGTCAGTGGAAGCATCTCCACATGACTCCTTCAACTCCCGAGTGTGTCTCCTCGGCAGTAAGATGAAGTAGAGAGAGAGAGTGTGTGGTCCTCTTCCGGGGAGGAAGTTCCCAGAATCCTCATGAGAAGGTCATGCCCACCAGGAGGCTGTGACTGATTGACAGGCCGAACTCCACCCCTTCACTCTATTCATCAAGTTGACATGAAATTATGTAACCACCACAGGCAGGTTGCCTTACCTGGTTTACCCACCAACAGAAGTGAAATCACTTCTGAGACAGACATGTCCCTTCCTTCCTCTGGACTTGATTTCCATTAAGGTTCATTGAGGCTCCTATAGGAATGTCTGTTGATTTGGGGTAATCATCTATCACTGCCTTTTGCTATTTCTGGTATTATATCTTTCTCTGTTAGCTGGTCTGTGAAATTCTCAGTGCAGGGATCCTGGCTCCAAACGATAGGGTCTGCTCCTTGTGCTTCCTTCTTGGTGATATTCAGGTCCCCTCTTTGCTGGTGTCTCCCTCCTTCCTGTAAAATAAAGGGTGTGACTCAAGCAAGGGAGGTGGCTTGAGTAAAGGTAGTGACGTGTATGCAATCCATCCCAATCATGCCTCCTTCTTGTAACACACAGATCCTAAAGAACACAACCTGATCCCGAGCCCTAAGACACAGACACCAGAATTTACCCAACACATACACACGAGAAAAATGACATCACATCGCAGGATGGTGAGGACATCCTCACACTACTGGACATCCTGGCTATGTGCACAGCCCCATCCCATAACTGTATGGGAATCTCGGAGACTGTGGCTAGAAGCACAGGGATCAGACTCTGTGTCTAGAACTCTGCTGCTCCCCAGACCCCACGTTGACAGAATCTGAGTGAATATTTGACCTTTAGAGGGTTTCTCCGGGGGCTCAGTAGGAGCATCTTCCTGGTGTGAGCATATGCTCCTAACTTATTGGATGGGATGCTCCCAGACCTTTCTGTACCGTTCATTGCCCCACGTTCATTGCTCCACGGGTGGGTAGGTGACCACTTGCCCTGGTGCTTGCTTCCCCCTCAATGTGCAGTAGGCTGAGTGAAGGCTCATTCTGATGCATACCCTCTGTGGGTTGTCTAGCCATTTCCTCAATTCTCTGTGTTGTCAAGTGTTCTCCTGAGCGTTGCTCAACCAGGAGGCTACTGGGGTGGTGTGGGTGCTTGAGGACAATCCGTCTCCTTTCGGAATCATAGATTCAAAGACAGCCTTTGGGTATATGGACTGTGGACGATGAAATAATTCCCAAGTGTTGGTCCAAAACTTTCTTTGAGTGCAGCATTACTTTACATATTTTGAGGGGTACAATTGAACTGTCCCACCCAGGCCCAACCCTCGTAGAACTCCTGGTTGAGGAGAGGGCACAGGAATGGCTTAAAGCAGTGCATAGCCATGCACTGTGACAAGATGAGAGTGACTCCGATGACCGCTGCTGTGGGGCCCAGGTAGCCGGCAATCAGGAGGATTGCCCGGGAAGAAGTCGGGTTAGATGGTCCCTTATGGACTCGAGTAGCTGAGAACAAAGCAGGACATATCAACCAGCGCTTCCTAAACCAGGGCTAGACCTTGTTGATAGCCTTGGTTATCTTTGTACACGATGCAGTGGCCAGGTCGTGCTTGTGGTTGGTGTCTAGCAAGTGTTTGTCTAATACCGTCAAGTCTAGTGGGGTCTAGGTAAGTGAAAGAACTGTTCCAGTATCCATCTTCTAAGCCCCGTAGCATCTTGAGAACTGCCAAGTCTTAACAAGGAAGGTTTGGGGGGAGATTCGTCCCCAAGGATCCTCTCTGCCGAGACACCTTTGAGGCTCTCATGCTCTGATTCACCACGGACGAGGAGATATTATCTCTAGTTTTGCCTTTGGGTTTTCTAGAGAAGCGAAGCCAGTGAATCTTACGTGGGTGTATATTTAGATAAAGAAAATGCTTACACCGTTGTAGATGTTGGCAAGTTCAAGTCCAGGCAAGTTCCAAGTCTGTAAGTCATATGCTAGGCTGGAGACTTCTCCGTGCATGGCTGCATGGGCTGTGAATTCAAGATCAGCAGGAAGGTGCCAGTCTTGTGATTGCAGAAGCACATTAATTGAGGGTCAGGTGGCAGGCAATATAGCAGGCCATGGGCTCAAGTTTCTCCACAGTGTTCACTTGTGTCCGAAGCAGGCCCCACTCCTGAAGAAACGTCCTTTTAATTGATTGCATCAGGGCCGTGATCTGTGTAAGCGCATTGCATTCCACCCTAATCTTCATATAACTGATTGGCTACTCATAGTAGATTCCATTATGGAAGTGATTGATTACACTGTGTTAAATCAGATCATGGACTACTGGGTCTTACCTACCAGACCCACCGAAGTTGACACAAAACCTAACTATCACAAAGACCCAGAGTTACAACGTGTGTTATTAGACCCAATCAGCACTTAAAAATCAGATTAAGTTGCTTTGTGAAACGGAGAGGAGTGAATTAATCCAACAACATCCATTCATCTCGTGCCTTGGAAGGTTTCTGGAGGTACAGTGAGGAAGAGGAAGGACAAGCCCTTGCCCTTCTAGGGTTTACGCTCTAGTTATGGGGAGATAGTACATCAACAAGGAGAAAACACAGAAGGTAATTTTGCATGGTGGCTTGTTATAATAAATGGTGCATAGTTCCTGCTGGGTAGGGGCTGCTATATTGAGACCGGCCTTCCTGTAGAGGAAGAAGCCCACCAGGGTAAGGTCTGAGGGCAGAGCCTCTTAGGGGCGGCCTGTCAGAAAGAGAGGTGCAGTGTGGGACTCCAGGCACTAAACCTTCTCCTCCCTTGGCTCACAGACAGCTGCCATCAGCTATGACTACCTCACCTCCCTGAGACATGTTCCTTATGGGTCGGAAGAGTACCTGCAGCTTCGATCCGAGGTAAGGGGAACTAGCGGGGCAGCCAGGACACGACGAGACACATGTGTGCAGCTGGAGGTGGGCACCATAAAGGGAGGGGCAGCATGAGGGCTGGGCCTGGGGCTCCTGGCGATTTGGTTTGGGAGGAGCACATTTCCACTTTCTGGGTGGGCTGTTTTAGTGCTGATGGGCTGGGCTGGTATGCTGACATGAAGCTGACACCCCCACCTCCCCCTTTCCCCAGCCCCAGGTGCTGAGGTTATTAATCTAGAGGTGGCTGCCCAGGAGGCTGGCGTGTATCTCTGGAATGACTCAGGAGAGATGGAGGCTCTGTCCCTGAGATAACTGAGCTAGCTCCCAAACTGCTTGTCAGGCAAAACCCAGTTGAAGGAGGTTAATTGCTTGCCTGTCCTCTGAAGGCCACCCCAGTGTCTCCTAGGTGTCTGGGTGGAGTTGTCGACCACACACTCATCCCTCACTTGGAGTCAGCGTCCGGGTGTCTCAGGGAGCTAAGCAAGAGGGCATGTGCTGTTGCGGGATGATGGTGGACTTGGGTCAAAAGCAGATGCCCTTGATCTCTCCAGTGGAAGGTTTGCTAGACTAGACCTGTGTCCTCCCCAGGACCCGTGTCCACGCAGAGGCCTCTGTGTCCGCAGTAACCTGTGCACACGGCAGACCTGTGTGCCATTGCTCTGTCAGCATGGATGCCCTTTGCCCCTTAGGAAATCCTGGGCCATCCCCGCGGGCTCAGTTCAGGCACTCGCCCTTCTGTGACGTTTTCCTACCCAGACAGCCTAGATGCGTGTACATTTTTATTTAAACTTTTCGTTATAGACATTTTCAGCTGCTCACGGGAGTAGAGCGACTAAGATGAGTTTAACGAACCCCTATGGAACTCTCAGCTGGTTTCAAAAATTATCAAAATGTTGTCATTCTTCTCTCACAGACTCTGGTTCATCCATCAATTCCTTATGTCTCAGGGAGCTGTTCAAAGTAACCCTCAGCTATCCTGTCACCTCGTTTGTACATCCTTCCGTGTGTAGCCCTGATACCCGAGGCCCTTCACAAAGCGATGACGACCCCATAGCCAGACCTTACAGGCTCCCGGCACTTTTGTGGGGCCGCGGAGACCTACGCTGGGTTTGAGTTTCCTTGTTGCCCCAGAAATGTCTTTTTATAGTTTGTTTGTTCAAATATGGTTCCAAATGAGGCAGAGCGATGGCATCGCTTGAGCTTTCCTGCATTTTTAAAACTGTAGTGTTTCTCCTTCCTTCTTTTTTTAAAGTCATTTGTTGAAGCAACCAGATCATTTATTCTGTAGACTTTTCCCCCATTCAGGATTTGGCTGGTTGCAACCTGAAAGAGTCGTTTAATGAGAACTACGTTCGCACGGCTCCTGATGGAAACTGTGCACAATTCACAACATACAGACCCATCGTCTTCCGTCTGTTCCTCAGGGACTCAATTTTCCTGCCTGAGGAAATCCTTATTTCTGTGTATCTTACTAGAGAGAGCTCCCTTTGTGAATTTATTCCCAACACAGATGATAGTTGGTTACATGCCTCTCACTTTACATTTTAGGGTCCTTGGAAGAGCCACAGGGAGCCCTGGGAGCGTAATGGGCTGTGCCCGGGCTGCCGGGTGCAGGGTCAGGGGCTGTACCCACCAGTCTCTCCATAGGGAAAGAGGAAGTGACCTGCTCCTGCTAAGATTGGCAGTCTTGGAAACCCAAAAGGGCAGTGCTCCTCTATCCTCTAGGGCAGGGGGTCCTCAAACTTTTTAAACAGGGGGCCAGTTCACTGTCCCTCAGACCCGTTGGAGGGCTGGACTATAGTTTTTAAAAAAGCTATGAACAAATTCCTATGCACACTGCACATATCTTATTTTGAAGTGAAAAACAAAATGGGGCAAAAACACTCAGTGGGCCGGATCAATGTCCTTGGCGGGCCGCATGTGGCCCGCAGGCCGTAGTTCGAGGATGCCTTTTCTAGGGTCTCTGTGTCGGAAGCTGCTCGATGGCAGTGGGTTTGGTTTGGGGTAGGCAGTGCAATGACTGAGTATTTGGCTGCTAAATGGTAGGTTGACAGTTTGAAGCCACCCTGCAGTTCCGAGAAAGACCCGGGGGACCTGCTCCCATGAAGACTACAGCCTAGAAACCCCTAAAGGGCAGTTACACTCTGTCACGTGGGGTTGCCGTGAGTCAGATTCCACTACAGGCACCTAACAGCGACAAACAACGGACTGTAGGTTCCTTCAGATCCGTGCATCCCAACGTGGATGGTTTCCCAGAGGGGCGCTGGAATGACCCAGTGGGGAGGGGCTGCAAAAGCAGAGCCTTCACTTGATCTTGGCTCTTCGGTTACAGTACAAAAGCTTTTCATTGCTAGGAAGCTGCTGAGTAATTTGTTTTCTGAAAATTGAACGACAGGTCAAATAACTCTGGGAACCTACACTAGTTTAGATCAAGGATTAGGCCTTGCTTGTGTGTCTTACACCTCTGGGTGGGGTGGGGGTGGGGGGAGGCATTGAGCTGATTGAATGTCGTTTTTCCGTGCTAGGCTGTGCTTCGTTAGCCTCTTTCTGTTGGAGAAGCCCCAAAGAAGATCGTCAGACTTGCAGTCAGAAAGCCTGAGCTGGTGGATTGGCTTCGGGCAGGTTGCCTCTGGAGCTGCCCCGTTCTTAAGCTAGAGGTGGCAATACCATTGACTGAGGATCGGGTACATCAGATTGGGGACAGTGCCCGACAGAGCCAGATGCCACTGAGCTGGTTGTGGCCCCCAGTGACAGAGTAGAATTGCTCTGTCGGTTCTGAGGCTGTGGCTTCTGGGGCACACGGATCACCAGGCTCGTCTTCTGTGCTACCTCAGGATGGGCTAGCAGCACAGCCCTTAACCTCCTGCCCCGCCAGGCCCTCCTGGTGACATGTAAAGCGGGGGTGTTACAAATCAGTCTGTTGTCTACTAGTGCGTGCGCTCCATGGTCTGTGCTGAGTGTTCCGGAGGCCCCAGCACCCAATCAGTACACTGTAGGTGCTGAATAGAGTGTTGTGAAGGAATGATTAAATGAATGAATGCATGACAGAAAGGTTAGTTTTTATTGGGGAATTGTTGAGGCCCCACCCTGCTCTCCCCACTCCTTTTATCCACAGAACTCCATAGCCAGAGGTAAGGGCCTGGGAATGGACCAGAATGACGTGATACAGGGAAGGGGAGGTCCAGACCAGGGCACTGGGCCAGCACCTCTGCCTTGGGAAACGGAGCAGGCTGGTGGGGGCGGGGGTGGGCTGTCTTGTGAAGATAACAGCCCTTTCCTGCGTCAGTCATCTGAAGGCCGAGGTGCATTGTGCCAGGGGAGGTTGGCAGCGCTGGGGCATGCAGTAAGGAAAGTGCAGCTCGTATTGGACAAGAGAATAATACCTGATCGCCAGGTGATTTCCAACTGGGGAAGAGGGGAGGGGTAGACCCGTCCCTGGACATTTTCCCCAAGGAAACGGGGACTCAGCTGGCCCTGAAGAACACCTGCCAGTATTGCCGGAATGTTCTCTTCCATTGGAGCCCTTATTGGTCCCTGTCAGCACTGCGTGGCTGAGAAAGAAGTGAGCATCCTCATGATCTCACCTGTCAAGGAGAGTGTCAGCGCCATTGAGTGCCCTACAGAAGCTCTACCAAGGTTGGCACTGGCGGACGGGGATCCCTGTGACCCAGCTCCATATGGTGGGTGCTTTGGGTTTGACACAAGGAAATGTTTTTCTGGGGCCATCGTGGCCCTCTGCTGGCAGTGAGGGGTGTGGCCCAGGGAATGTGGGGAAGGTGGCTCCCAGCAGAGCAGGCAGGTGAGTGAACTGGCCTGTCAGGAAAGCAGAGTGAAGCAGATGGCTCGCACTGGAGGAGGCAGGGCCCGGCATTCTGCTGGAGGCTCGGGGTGTGGTGACCTCTGCTGACCTGGCAGCTCAGAAGCCCTTCTTCTTGTGGAGGAACAATATCCAAGCTTTTCCCTGGGGTATTGCCTATCTCACATTGACTCCGTGAGGTTCACACGGAGCTGACGCACGCCCCCTCCTTGCCAAGGGTGGGAATGAATGCACCCATAGTCACGCCTTAAGTGGGGTCCATTTCTCTGGCCCGACAAGATGATTCAAGGGTGGGTCTGCACCCGAGTCTGTTCTGGTCAGTAAGCATGGGGCAGGGGTGTTTTGCAGGAAGCGCTACTCTCTCTCTTCTGCTGGGTTAGGTGAGAGCAGGATGCTGGCTCAGAGCTGTTGGCACTGTTTCGCCACCAGGAGAGAGAACCTGCCTGCGAATGGAGCCAGTGTTGCAGAGGGCTGTGTCATAGGAGCCCCTAGATCTAGCCGTGACCCCATTCCCTGCTTTGGGGGCCCTTGTCGGACAGTACTGATGCACTTGGCCACTAACGGAAAGGTTGTCTGTCTGAACCCAGCAGCTTCCTTGCGGAAGAAGGCTGTGACAGTCTGCTCCCATCAAGACTGCCAGCCTCGGGACCCTCGTGGGGCGGGCCTCCGTATCGCGGCGTCAGCGTGAGTCGGAATCGACGTGATGGCAGTGTTCTTTTTGGTGCATGCGGGGAGCTCCTCTCTACGCGAGGACCAGCCCCAGGGAGAGGCAGGGGCCCTCTCCATGAAGATCGGTGTCAGCGTTCTTCCTGACAGTGCTGGACCAGGCCGTGGGGGTTTGCGTGTGTCAGCCAGTGGGCTTGCTGAATTTCACCTCTGAATTTGAGAGGCTTACTTGCTGCATGAAGAATTCCTTTTAGAAGGATCAGCACAACGCTGGTTCCTATGAGGCTGAGGTTAAAGATGTTCCAGAGGTCCAATTTTCTAAACCACGATACCGTTGCCTCATCTTTAACACTCACTCCTCCGCCTCCTCGCCTCAGCACTCTCTCTCCCATTTTGGCCTCTGTCATCCATTGCCACACCTAACGAACCCAGAGCCATCGGGGAAATGGATTCTGTGATTGCAGAGGCTGGCAGGTCCCAGATCCATGGATCAACCATCAGCCTG